CTCTGGCCCCGCGCACGCCTCCGCGCTCCGCCCCGCCACAGAGCCCCCGCCGGGCGAGAGCGACTCCACATCCGGGTACGGCCGCACCCCAAGGCCGGAGCAGCCCCTTCTCGGAGCCCAGGAGGGATCGCCAGCAGTGCTAGTAGGGTGGGAGCGTTCGGGAGAGGAGCGCGATCCGGGAAAGAAAGAAGAAAACCGATCCCTAAGCGTCTTCCCCGGGCCCAAGGAGAATGCGCATGCGCAAGGTCCCAGTAAAAGTGGTGGAAAGCCCAACCTCGGTGTGGAGCGTTTTAGGGGTGGAGCCCTAGAGTTGTCTCTCGGTGGATGCGGAGCTTCCCATTGGCTGTGAGGGAAGCGAAGGGGCCATCCTGGAGGCGGGGCTAGAGGAAGTAAGGACCGAACGCTTGCTGAGGCCGCAGCTGCGAGGCCCATCTTTTAGGAGCGTTCCTAGGTGTGCGGTGTCGGGATTTAGGATTTCATATTTCGTCTTCCTTTTTAACGGGGGATGGGTAGGATAGACTGCAGCACAGATTAAGAGCTACCCGTATTCTCTGCAGGTTAAAAGCTGCAAACCAGAGAGGGTGATTGGTGATATGCTTTTTAGATGAGTGGTCTGAATGTATACTACTGTGGAGGCCTTTGAAAGGTGTGTGTCTCTTGCCTTGGAAAGCCAAGGTAGTAAGTAGACTCCAAAACTTGCTTGTTCCATAACTACCCCTTCCCAGGGCGTCAGTTAGCCCCTAATAGCCAAATACACCTGGAAAGGAAAATAAGAAGACCCAAAGTGGGTTCTGATAGTTATTACTCAAATGGCCTTAGAAGAATGATGTGTGAGAGAGGGAGTGGGGAGAGATCGTGGGGCTTGAACCCTAGGACCAGATCAATGTCCCTGGGCTTTTGTGCGTAAGGATAGCGTTCTCCAACTTGCACCATAGCTCCATTTCCAGGTTTTCTGATGGTTAATTGAATATAAGCATCTCATGGACTTTCCTGCTCCAGCAGTCTTTGAACCATGATCCTCAGATCTCAGCCTCCCGAGTAGGATTACAGGTGTGAGCCACTCCCACCCTGCAGAAATGACTTTTTTAAGCCATTATTTCCACAGCCCAAGCAGGACTGATTGTTGATACTATCGATTTCCCCCAGAGCCCAGGGAGGAGACAATGAATGAATAATAAAGTAGGGGGGGGAAGACAACAGGTGTAAAATGGATCAAGTGAATTATCATGTAGTGAGATAAGAGAAGTGCCCTTAGTTTTTTATGAAGATAACAAGAAAATAACAATTATTGAGAGCCAAATGCCAAATCCGGGTAATTTTAAAGTGTAGAGTTTAAATTTTCCCCCTCAGGATAACGCAGCCAGTCTCGTTTATTTTTCAAAATACTTTCACCTGAAATATCTTAAATGTTTATGGCCAAACCTACTCAACTGTATCTAAGCAATTAAAGGCAGTTAAATATTTCTGCTCTACTATTTCTCTGTTTTCAAAATCCTTTCTGGTTTCCTTTTTATCCCAATGAATTGATTTTATGAATTACTCAATTGGTTGGTTTTTTTTTAATTTTAGTATTGAAAAGGGGCCCTGTTGAGTTATAGTATTGACTTTTAAAGCTAAATTAATTCCAAGAAAGCCATCTGAGATGTCAGATCCTTAACCTGTATTTTACATTAATGTCAATCTAGTTAAGAACATGTATAACAAATTAGCAAGGTGTAAAATCTGCTGATGGGAAAGGGGAAAACATGTTTTTTTGTGTTTGATTCACCTAGGAGTTTTATGATTATTATGACATAGTCTAATATTTAAATAAATTTTGATGAGGAGATGTGCAAGGGATTGAATTCAAGACTTTGCAAATGCTAAGTACATGCTGTACCTTTGAGCTACACCTAGCTCTTTTATTTTTCCTACCAGAGATTCTTGTTGTTTCGTTATTGTTGCTGGAACAGAGTTTCTCTATGTAGTCCAGACTGGCCTCAAATTCAAAATCCTTCTGCCACAGTCTCCCTGGGTTACAGGCACATCCAGCTAGTACCAGAGATTTTTTAATACTAGCATTTTCCCTTAAATGAATAGTTGTAATGCCTTAAACTGGGAAGGGCTCTTAAGAGGTGATTTAGAAGCCAGGCTGGGTGGTGCAAGCTTGCAATCCTAGCACTTGGGGAACTGAGATAAGAAAATCAGGAGTTCAGGGCCAGCCTGGGCTATATAACCAGACCCTGTTTCAACAAGTCAGGGTAGAGTGGAATGAGATGGTCTGGGCTAGAACTTTTCTTTTTGTCGTTGTCCTTTTATGTCTTTGTTCCCTCCCTGCACATCAAACTGGAGGCTACTTGCAGTCTATGCTTCCACCTGCCACGACAAGAATCTATAGGAATCATCAAAACCTCTGAAATAACTTTGAGCACAAGAATAAAAACTCCAGTGGGCTGGGAAGGTGGCTCCGTGGTAGAGCGCTTGCCTTGCATGCATGAGGCCCTGGGTTCGATTCCTCAGCACCATATAAGCAAAAAGAAAAAAGCTGGAAGTGGCGCTGTGGCTTAAATGGTAGAGCGCTAGCCTTGAGCTGAAGAGCTAAGGGACAGCGCCCAGGCCCAGAGTTCAGGCCCCACGACCGGACCCAAAAAAAAAAAAAAGAATAAAAACTCCATATTAGCCCAATCCTTATATTTGAAATGATTAAAGTGAAGCTGATACTGGTTAAATAACTTGTCTAGGAATGCAGAGGAACTAAGTTACAACCTGCCGAAAGAAATACAGGGCATATTTTTTTCATATATGAACATGCTTTTAGCCATCGATTCCCTCATTAAATGTGTTGTGAATTTCTAACATGATTGTGTTGCTTAGATTGTTACAATGCTTTCGTTTCCCAAGGATCTCCAAATGTTTTCAGTCATATGTCTTTTCAGAACAACAACAAAAAAATTTATTAGGGTGCCAGTGATTCACACCTGTACTCCTAGCTACTCAAGAGACTGAAATCTGGAATATCCTGCAAAAATAAAAGCTGGAAGTGGAGGTATGGCTCAAATTATAATGCACCACCCATGAGCAAAAAAGCTGAGTGAGAGTGAGTGAAAGGCCTAGAGTTCAAACCCCAGTACTGCCATTAAAAAGACTTACAGAAAAATTTTTTATATTTCTTCTGTCAAAGTAACATTTCTGTATCTAGAACTGTTTAAGTTGGTATGCTCCAAAGTGGTTACACCCAATTCTGGAGACCACAGGGTCATAAATGTGTCTTATTTTTTAGAACACAGTCATTTTTACACATATGCTTACTTATCTGCCCATTTGCTAAGAGATATTTAAGGTCACTCACTACTTAAAAGACAAACCCTTGCCCCAGAACTTAAATTAGTTGTTTTGTTCACATGTTATTCTACTATGAATTTCTAACTGCTGTTAGGTGTAATATTTGGACAATAACTTTATTAGGATAACATTATCTTCTGTAACAAACAGACCTCCAACATACAAGGAAACAAAAAATATGAACTCAGATTGAGTTTTATTTCCCAGTCATATGATAGCCTAATGCTTCCCACCATATGGTTATTCAGGGGCTCATGCTGCTATTCAGACATCCCCTAAGACTGACAATGTGTAGCTGAAGGAAGGAAAGGAGAATAGAAAGGCCATTCTCAACATCCTGGACCCAAATTGTTCTAAATCACCCAGTCCTTTTCTGTCTTCTAGAATTCAACTACTTGTAGTTGAAAGGAAAGAGAAATGTAGTGTCCAAGCTGAGACATATCCAAGAAGAATGGTATATCAGTTAGTGTCCACGTAGAAAAACAGAAAATACTTATTCCCATTAAAGAAATTCAACATAGCAAATTACTTGTAAAAATGTGATAAGGAGCCAGGCAACAATAACTCATACCTATAATCCTAGCTACCCAGAGGGCTTAGATCTGAAAATCATGGTTCAAACCTAGGCTGGGCAGGGAAGTCAGACTCATCTCCAGTTAACCACCAGAAAGCCAAGTGTAGAACCATGGTTTAAGTGGTAAAATACCAGCCTTGAGCAAAGAAGCTAAGGTACAAGCCAGGCACTGGTGGTCCACACTTGTAATCCTAGCTACTCAGGAGGCTAAGATCTGAGGGTCATGGTTCAAAGCCAGTCTGGGCAGAGAAGTCTGTGTGACTCTTATCTCCAATATATCCTCAGAAAAAAAAATCCAGCAGTGGCACTGTGACCCAAAGGGTAGAGTGCCTCGAGCTTAAAGCTTAGGGATAGCTCTCAGACCCTGAGTTCAAGCCTCAGGACCAGCACCAAAACAAACAACAACAAAAAAAACTAAGGTACAGTGCTAAGGCCCTAAATTCAAATCCGGGTATTAACATAAATTATTTAAGTGTCAGAAAGGCTGAAGAAGCTAAAATGAAACATTTCATCCAGTCTAGAGGAGCAAAAAGTGCTTGGAGATCCCTGGGACCCATCATCCCTGCGCCATTGAGGCTGCTGGATAAACTTCTCCTGATGTTGGAACTGCTTCTGTTTTGCACTGAGGATCCTCATTCACCCTGAGACTGAAACTAAGAGTGCAGTCACCTATGTCATCTACCACGGTCACTTCCCTGACAAAGTCAGAGCTCCATGAGCACAGGGCATGCCCCGGTGCTACAGTTGCTAAAAACTGCCCAGCCTGCATAGAAACCCAGAAGTATGAAACAAAAACGACCTGTTCTTTCTTGGGTCAGTCTCCCATCTGTCTCCACCCTTTAGATGGAAAAACTATTTTAGCCATTCTGACATGTCTGAACTTCCACATCATGCATCTGCTTAGGAAAATGCAAATATTCAAGATAAAATGAAGATACCTTCATAATCTCTTCAAAAAGAGGAGGTATAAAGTAAGCCACATCCATTGCCATACCCCATATCTAAGAGATATTAACTCCACTTACAGTTCAGTCACAATCCTACCTATTTTGAAAACTACATTAACAACTAAATTAACAACCACCAGCAAAATTGGCAGATCTTTTGTTAAATTAGCCACACACAAAAAAGTCCATTGTGATGCTATTTATCTGTAATCCTAGCACTAGGAAGAGGAAACAGAAGACCATAAGTTCTAAGAAAGCTTGTTCTATGATAGCAAGCCCTTGTTGCAAAGAAAAGGAAATGGCAAACAGATAATGAGAAAAGAGAAGCCGCAAACAACCACCAATAATTCTTATATAAAATAGGAGAAAAGAGAAAGAAGGAAAATAGTTACCTAAAAATTGTATTATGTTGGTTATGTCCTCATAAAAGATATATTGAAAGCTGGGTACTGATGGCTTACATCTGTAATCCCAGCTACTCAGAAGGCTGAGCTCTGAGGATCACCGCTGAAAGCCAGCCAAAGCAGGAAAGTCTGTGAGACTCTTCACTTAACCACCATAAAACTGGAAATGGTGCTGTGGCTCAAAGT